CAAAATTTACGAGGCATTGTTCGAAGGCTGCGGCTCGCCACGGAAAGAATATCACGTGTTTCAGGGGTTCTTTGCTCGGCGAGTTTTCTACAGATTGTAACGCGCAAGAAGGGGTTGAATTGTTGGAACTAAGTTTAATTATTCCACGAACAAATGAAGTAAATATTGAAATAATCATTTCATAGGAAAATAATTAGTATCCTTGCAATGGACTTCTCGTTGAAATTTATTTATTCCACTTGATTAAGAGAATTTGGAAAAATATGTTTAAAGATATCAAAATAATGCCTGTTTTTTGCGTTTCTGCGTAATTCTTTGGTTCAAAGGACTAGCGAAGCGATCTACCGCGTTGTGTGCAGAGATAAACATCGATCCTTGATTACATGGCGGAGGTGTAGCATAAGCGTATTGGGAAAAGGGCGGAACAAACGATTTTTCTGCGGAGAAAACGGACGGCCAGAAAGTGCCACGCGGATAAGCAATTTCCGCGAAGGTTGAGCTTCCAATTCTTGGCGTTTCCGGACACTTTTCTGGTGGAGGCTCATGGGGATGGTTTTAATGAACGAATTTCGAAGCTTCCATCGGAGCGACGGTAAAACGTATCGGGAAGCGCGCACCAGAATTTTTGATTTCACGATATAAAAATTGGATCCGTGATAGGATTTTATTCTATCTTTATTTCTTGCGTTAAAGCTATACAAAGTTCTACTGAAAGTAGAACAAAGGTGCCGTAAACACGTAATGATTTTTAAACAAAATTTACAATTGTTTTCGTAATAAAAAAAATTAGCGTCTGTATTTATTATTTTAGTTTATCAACGCAGTGTTCGCGAACGGAGTAAAATAATTCGTAGTAAAATAAATTTGATAAAGCAAGCGTGCTAAAACGATTATTTCAATTTAAAAAATTAAAGGGAAATTGAAAATAATGCTCTTTTACATATATAACAGCTTGTAAATTTTAGATTTATCTTGTACCCATCATAAAATTGCATTTAATACGAATGTAATAATCATATTGCATTTTTCACTGAAATTACGACCAATATAAATTTACAGTACATACAAGATTATATCATTCTGATCATTATTTGCAGATACATTCTTTGTACGACACAGAGGGTTAAAAGTTTATTTCTAATTCAATAATGTATTTGTTCTGGATCCGTGTATTTCGGCGGGGTAACGTTTAAAAGTGAGCACGAACGCGTTCAAACGAACCGTCTAGACAGTCCGCAATCGATCAACCCCACTTCAGAGAAATCTCACCGTGAAAACGACGTCGCGTGAACCGCGTGACGTGTGCGTGCGAAATTGTGCGCACAACTCGACGCCTCGAAAACACCAGCGCTCGGGGGCTGCAGGCGACACAGCACCGAACTATTCTTCATCGGGTGTTTTATCCGACTGGATACATTTACTAATTAAAACGTGCCGCTCGAGAACCGCGGTTCGTGCTCTTGTTTTCGTCGTTATTCGTCGCTGCTTAGACAAGAAAAAGCAGGCAACGTTGCAGCAAAACTTTCTCGGTAACCCACTCCGTCTATCAACATATCTTCGCGTCGGAAATCAAAATATGCCTCTTTCGGTATCTCCCCATCACCTAATCAATTTTTTTTATTAAATAAGTGCCACAAACGTCTTACATTTAAGTGACAGCATACAAAGTTTCATTGTTCTTCGATGAATCAACTCTGAGATATAAAGCAAAGCATAAACCAACATATATTCAAACATGCACATGCAGAATTTTTCTAAAATTTTGTCACCCCGTATGGAAGGTAGTACACTAACTTTCATGATCCTTCAAGCTAACCATGAGATGCAAAGTATAACAAACGTCAACATACGTGAGCAAATCCGCGCATACAGAATTTTCCGGGCAGTTTCGTAGAGTTTTTAGACTCGGGGGGGCCTACAAACGTGGAGAAATTCAAAGAGGCATAGAGTGAGGTGGCAAATGTTAACCGATAGCAATACTTCCCTTGGTTACATTCAATATCAGCCGGGAAAGTAAAATTACAGAACGCCGTGACATTGAGAGTTTCATCGGGAGGTGGGAGGCGAGGAGGCAGACACGTCCGGTGAAAGCTGAATGGGGAAAAAGAGCGACGAACATTATGTTAGCTCGAAGGGGTCGACAACGACGCGATGAGAAAGAGCGAGAGGGGTGGAGGTAGGGCAGGTAGAGAAAAGGAAAGAGCTCAAGGAACGACGAGGGTGACATACTACATCGATCGCACCTGAAACACCCCCTCTCTCACTGTCGCGGATTTGTCGCGAACGTTTCTTTGCTTATCGTCTACTTTCCCTCCCTGCATTTTTTTCTCCCAAACCTGAGCAACGCGCGCCGAGGGAATCATGGGAAACCGTCAAATCCTCTTAGCATCGGGTGTACCAAACTCCAACGCGGAGTTTCGATGCCTCGCGCAACCGATGGGATGATTATTGAATCACGGGTGTACCGAGAACTCGGAATACGGTTTTTGTACCATGGGTAGCAAGAACGATCTGGCTTGGGAGTAAGACCTAGAGGGTGAGATGTTTAGTAGGGAGAACCTGAGACTTAGCTTGGAGAGAAATTACTTGACGACAGAGTTTGCTCGATCATAGTCACATTCCCCTTAATCCGTTCAGACCTGGCGTCTACAAAAGTTGAGGACAGAAAATTTAAAAATTACCGACATTATCGTTTAGGGCGAATATCATTTATGTACACGATGAAAGATCAGTTGTCCTTGTAAATTAAACTATTAGGATTTAGAAATAATGTTTTTCCATACTAATTTCATACAACCTAATTCAAACCTAATTTCCTCCAGGTGGTATCATAAAGTCTAAATTTATGGCCCGTGAACCTGGTCTTGAAAAGGACTGACACAGGATGTTGCTCATCAAGTTCCTACACCTGTACACATTTCCCATACTCCTGCAAACATTACCCAGAAACTAACTTGCTGCACTATCTCGATGGCAATTTGTCCTCCGGCAGTTCTGAGCTAAATACTCTTGAAACACGTATCAGCTGGGGATACATGACATTTATTAATTTAATACCTGAATTAACGTCTCTAAAAAAAAATCATAGAGTTCACAGTACAGTACAATTGTATAAAACGTTTTGTTACGATAAAATATTTAGTCCTTTTATCATAGAATCGCGAAAGCGAAGAAAATCATCTGACGAGAGTCAGTGTTAAAAATATTAATTATTAAGACAAAGAAATCAACGAAATTGCATGAATGTATCTTCGCGAGAACTGCAGCCCCCAGCAAACAACAGCACTCGGATCAGCCTGTATTTGGAAAGCAACAGGACCGCGAGTCGCAGACATTAATTATCTGGAACAACCCTTCGCTTATGCGAGGAGCAGCCGATCAAAAACACGGTTAAACCGTCTGCACATGGTAAGATCAGCACGACGGTGTGAAAGATGCCGCCACGCTGGCGAATCAGAAGCGATAAAGCGAGACGTGTGCATCCCGCGCGACACGGGGTGGTCGCGCTGCGCGCCCAATGAATATGAAACAGTCATTAGCGCGCCAATCCGGAATCACTTAGGTACGTGCAGCAGACAGTAAACAGAAAAGCAAGTGTGGAAGTTGTTAGTACATTGAAATGCATTGCCCCGGAGACTGTCCTGAACTCTAAAGCCTCGTATCCTCGCAGTTATCATATTTTAGGGATACGAGTGAGGGTGGAAACGAGGGTGCGGTGTCAATTGCAGTGGGTGGAAGACGGTTTCCTGGCTCAGAAAATCGACTTAATTGGGTGAATCTGCATAGTCGATAAAGGAAGACTCTGCTAACGCTGTGTTACGTTTGGCTGTTTCCTTCTGACTATCTAGATCCTCGTTGTAGGCGAAACTCTAGCACTTGGACTCCTTGGTAGAGCCACTGGCTCTGGAACACGAGGTGAACGCACGAGTATATTATAATACGTGCGAATTACTCCATTACTGGTTATTTCAATGGAGGTTTACTGTTTTTCAGGTGTTGGAATCTTTTCCAAAAATTTTCTATCTAAATGGCCCGATGGTTCTCTGTGCGATTTAACCCTTCGCTCTCAAGGCCTTTTGTTCTGGTATCTATCAGCAACTCGAGGTGCTTCCTTGGCATTTTATTGCCACGAGATTTGAAAATCAGGTCATCCTTGTTTATTAATCATTCATACTGGCTGACAAGTGTCCACATATTTATGAATGGAGTGTACGTTGATAAGTGTCGATCTATTCTTCACAATCACACGTTAGTACAATTTATGGGTCACACTGTCAGCCTTCAAATTATCCCCAATCAGTTACAGCAGGAAACGAAGCTCCTTAAAAACGTCAAAGGCATCGCGACCTCGATGTCAAATAGAAGGTGCAGCACTGTAAAGTCAATATTGATTCTCACTGCAGGTTCATGCAATGAGTGACTTGTAGAGTGGGCTACTGATTCTGGCATAGTCAGAGGTTTCAAGTGCTTTATCGAGGGCTTTCGAGGAAATTTCATTCCAAGTACTATCGGGCTTCACGCTACTTTGTACCAAGGTCAAAGCAAGAGGAATGTCTTTGAGTGCCCCAAAAGGGGATATGCGACTGATCTCTATGTGTACACCAGCTAATGCACTTGTTGTAGATTTGTAATGAAAAGAGTTTGTATATGAGTCATCGCCGAAGGAAAATCCTGCTGTGTCTCAACCATTGTCGATCGAGATTATGCTTCGAAGAAGAGTTTTGTCGAAATGTGTATTTATTCACATAAACGAGAGTAATCTATTGATGCATAAAGAATGTGAAGTAAAAGGGTGTTATAATATATTACTATTTACACAATAGTTATTTATTTTTTTACTAATAAATGAAATATAGAAAGCCCTATTCAAAAACCTTTTATTAACGAGGACATTGTATGTAGGATAAGATCTCAATTGTGGAAGTACGGAATGCTAATGAAACATAAATGTGGAGTCGTTTCTACGAAAGGCATGCACTTACTCTTTGTGGTACACCCACCCTGGTACGACTGTGTCTCGGAGAACCTTGAACTTGGCCTTGCTTTTCTTTCCTGTGCGTCTTCAGCCCTCGAAGAAGTCTCGAAAATGTTGTCTTTTTCTTGCCTGTGTTTTGTCCTTGTTCTGGAAAACAAAGGCGAGATAATGGTTAATGTAACAATTGTATCACCCTTAAATATATTCAGTAACATTAGCTATTACAACACTTTGTTTATATTTATTAAGTTATATTATTTATATTATTCATTGATAAATAATTTAATATACGAGCTGAACAATAAGTGACCGAACCTCTAGAATCACTAGAATCATTCCACAGAAACATTTCTCATCGAACTCCAAAAAGATTTTTTTATCGTGTTCCTAGTGTATCACACTATTTAATATATTATTAAAATAAGCAATTTGCATAATAATTGGCACTTATTCAATCTATGTCATGAAAAAATCAAACTTATACGTGTATTTTATTTTTCAATATATTATGATTAATAGATATGTTTACAGTAATAAACGAGAGCTGGTCGAGATCTTTCCTAAGCCCGGAGTTACAATGGCAATGCCCGACCACTTCCAGTCTCACAAATAATCGAATGAATCGGGATTAGCCGCAACATCACTATCCATTAATGCATAATTCAGGCATGTCGTTAGTTACCCTACCTGCCCAATCCCCTAACCCTTCGCTACGACAGTATATTGTATTAGTGTCAACGCATCCGTTTATTAACACCGACAACAACACCGCCTAATTAACTATCTTTGCGGCGGTGAACGTTGGAAAGCTGGAACGTATTATGAGCTTGCGAGGCTTCAACTCGACACTCATTGTTAGGCTAACTCGTAAACCAACTTGCAATGTGTCACTCCTTGTCTGCTTCCATGTAACTGTGACTGCTTGGACTAATTACTTAATCGACGTAATTGTCTGTCTCGGTCAAATGGAATACGTTGCCAGCTCTGGCTGCCGCAACGTCCCACGTAGCGATTAGTAACGCACTAATCAGAACTGTTCTATGTCATCATCCCGAAATCTCGGATTAGTTTTGTTCATAAAAGTGGCTTTAACTGGCCAGGTGAGGGTACAATACTAGAATTCAATAATAGCTTAAGTTTTTAATTATATTTTATATTTTTGTTTAACTATGAACCAATTTCCTTCCTTTATTTTAATTGTTGTGTTTCGATATGAATCAGATATGTGTGTTTTTGATCATTAGATTTTGGAGTGGCAATTGCCAGTAGTAATGCATGAAATAGAGGACAGATAAAGTATTAAATATTACATATATAAAGATTAATCTGCTTGAAAATGAACTAATAAAAATTAAAATTATGGTATTATCTCAAAAGCATCAAAGAATAGAAATTGTCAAAACAGTTACTTGGTTGAAAATAACTTAAAACACAAAAATCTAAGAGAAGAACAATAACACAAAGAAGTAATCCAGTATAGCTTTGTGACACTTTTAGAGGGAATAGTCGTGACATTTTGCACAAATTCGTTACATTCCAAGAAGAATCAATACTACTGTAAAGCACATAGACAGAAACCATAGAAACAACGAATACAAAAGGCTCGTAGCCCTGTGGTCGGAATTTCGACTGGCAATATCGAAAATATATTGTCCCGTTCGTGACCACGAACCGTGTTCAATCGAAGAAAACTTATGGAATAAAAATAAATCCGTCCGTCCGACACGGAAGATACGACACTGTTTTCTTTATCGTGAATGGCGCCTAGATCGACGTGTATGGTGAACCGAGGACGAAATGATGTCAAAGAGGTAGATGGAGAGGCGGTGGTTAAAGAAAAAGGTAAAAAAAAAAAGAACTTTGAAGGGTATCGAATAAATGTTCGGGGTAGACACATGTATCAAATTCTGAAGTTGCGTGAGAGTTGAAATTCCTGCTTGTTCAGAAGCGAGCCACGATAAAACCGACTTTGTCTTCTCTGGCGTCGCCGTCACCTGTTTGAACCCTGGTGCTTCGCTCACATTTCTACGTGTGCTTACAATAGACTCGTAGTTCCCTTCTATTATCAACAAATCGGGGATAATTCATTATATATCATATTTTTTCTAATTTTGATTCGGTAAACAAACGTTTTTTTATATTATATAATTATTTTATTTAAGCCACGAATGTTATGTACGACTGGATAATGTAGGACAGTCGATCGATAAGACAGATTGCTCTGCAAGCAATGTAGAGACACTCTGTCGATAAACACTGTGACTAGTCAGAAATCTACATTGCCGACAAAGTGTTCTACTATATCATCAGAGGGTTCTATGGCTGTATCGTGCAGATATTAATAACAGGGAAGAAAAAAAGAATTTTTTAAATATTTCATTTTCCAGTACAGAAGTATTTTTCCATTTTCAAATTAATTATTTACGAATAGACCCTATTTATTGAGCAAGCAACCAAGAATTACGGTTCCATTTCATCGAAACGAGAAAGAATATGCCAAATTTCTAAAAGCTTGTAGGTGTTATATCGCAATCTCGGCGCATATGTGCTAATAATACGCGCAGCCTTTGCCGGGAAGGAGCACAAATTTGTTGTTATGAAAATCCTCGTGCAGCGAAAGCGAGGCTATAAACATGAATAAATTAGCGTTATTAGACTTCCCTTCTCCATCCACATCGCGCTTCGAACGCCACGGAAGCTTTCTCCCTACTCCACATAGGCATCGAGTTATACCTCGTGGTCTGTGTAATGGGATTCCTCTCCTCTATTCTCTTCCATCTCAACAATTCACTTCGTTTAGGGATGCTTCTCTACTAAACCCTTCGGCTATTCTCCATCTTCACTTATTTTCCAATAGACGTTGCGGAAGATAGGAGCATAGGTTTTTGGATAACAAAGTGCGCACGCGATCCGGCAATAACTATTGGCTGGATAGTTGCTCGAACTCGTGGAGCGAGCGTTGCCCATTTATCAGTTTCTGTTATGCAAACTTGCTGTATTAAAATAATAATTCGAAGATGCTTGATATTTTATAAAAACTTGCGGAAGTAGAAACATCATCTTGCAAGAGACACTTGCCATCGTTATCAGACACTTTATAGGGGTTTACGTGTATAAAGGAAAACGAGGATAAAAATTCTCGGTTTTAAACGATTATATTGTATATATAAAAATTATATTCAATGTAATATACATCATAAACAAAGTATGTTTAAAAAATACCGTTTGAAAGGATCGCGATAAATATACAAGTACTTATAAAGCTAGGTTAAAAAAGAAAGTCATGAAATATTTTTCAATTCAGAGTTTAGAGCTTCGCGCGCGGAATAAAGCTCGCGAGTAAGTTATCCACGGTTCAAAATCCATTATCGCAACGTTATCTATTTCAGTCGGCTATCCATACTCAGCGTTTCGCCTCGGTGAATTTTGTTCCCGTGGAAGAAAATTATTCGAGGATTTTCTTGCTTTATAAGGTCAAATTCGAAGGTTGTTTTATGATAATGGCCCGGGGTGCATGAATATTGAAAGTAGTTCATGGCGCGACGTTTTTAAAGCCAACCGTTGAGCTTTCGCGTTGAGAGTCAGATTAATACCGGCTTAAAGTCGCCCGCCATTAACGACATCGAATAAATGAACAGGAAGATAAATGACGAGAGTATGCCGATGTTATCGGGCCATCCATTTTTCACTTTCTCGATATCGCGCGAGTACTACGGTAACGGAGTGGAAATCGCGCTATTAATTATAACGCGATAATCGGTAGAAATATATGATGATCGCCGATAGATTCCGCGGCAGACTATTTAAGCCCTAAACCCGTTGGAAAAGTGCGCAACGAGTTAACACGATCGCACAATAAATTCCAAGTGTAATGGATACTTCGGTTTATAAAATAGAGTTCACGGGAATTTGAGGAGATATTCAATTTAAGTTTCACGTACCAGGAATACATTCTGTCATCGATTGGAATTAATGGTCGAAGCAAACTTTTCGAAGAAATAAATATTTTGGAAGGCAATTTTTCTCTTCTCATTGGCGTCTTGGAGCAACATAAACAGTATTTTTTCTTCAAATAAAAGTACACATAATCATAATTAAATGTCAGAAATGATGTCGTTAAACAAAAAACAAAATCCTAGAACACATTCTGGATAACCTTTACAATTACTAAAATATAAATTGTAAAATTTATTCAGCATAGAGGTCTTCCTTGCCTCTGATTAATTTAGCTGAAAATTGTTGACATTGCGAGCCTAAACCTCTAACAGAACTGATAGAATAAACAGTATGCTTTCTCTATATTTCCATTAAAATATAAATTATCTTGCAAAGTAGCCTAACACCATGGCATAGAACGCTAAACGAGATCGGATATAGATATCAGTCGAGATAGCCCGAGTATATCGAGCAGAGTAGCAATCTATTACCCATTTATGTGGGTCAGGAGATTATGCATTCTTCTCCATCCACGTTTCTTCTGGTTCTCCATCAACCCAGCGGTAACGGTGCTTCAAAGTCGTTACGGTTCGCAGGTTCGAAGCCAGGTCGACGCAAATCACGAGCCTTTATTCGCCGGGTTCCGACTTGACCATGCTTTCAAACTCGAACGAGCAAATTAGTTTCTGGGTCTTGTACGCCAGCTGTTTGGAGAGGGTTGCTCTCAGCATTCGGGATTTTTAGACACAATGGCTGTACCGTGGACCCTCCGGCAGTTAACGCGAGGACGTTTCTTGTCGCGTAGCAGGGGTCACTTCCAGGAATAGCTTAAATGCCTCTTGCGAAGATCCACCCTTCCCTGAGATGTGACACATCCGAAATCTTGGTGTGACCTTACGACATATTATACCTTTGGGTATAATACGATGAAGTGGAAGCTTGGTATCAACCTCGTAGGAACCAAGCATCTGCATTTTCTGAGACAAATAAGGTAGGGATGCTGAGAGATATCGGGCGTCAAGTTTGAGAATGAGCCTGGAGAGGTGATTTAAATGTGGAGTAAGTGTGTCGAACAGATTATTGTCATTTTAAAGGATACATTTTGAAATAAATAAACATCTCAATCAAGGAAAGACTCGATGAGGATATACCCATATAAATGTCATTGTATACATTTATTATTATAATTTTTTAACAAGTGGAATCAGTTT